AATTGGAACAGAGCAGAAAGTTGACCACTGCAATACATGTGTGATGAGTTCATTATACTATCAACCCTACATTTGTTTTTGGAAATTTTCCTAATATCTAAAAACAAATCAAGTGATAAAAATCTGTGTAACTCCTCAGTGGCTCCCCACACCTCGACGAACACCTGAAGCAGCTTAGCCTCCAGGCCCTCCGCACTGTCCTGCCACCTCCTGTCCTGCCGCCCCCACCTTGCCCATCTGCCCCAGCTGCTGCCCTCACCATAAAGCTGACTCCTCAGAAGCTGAGATTAGTGTTTCTGTAGCACTTTTGACAATCAGGTAGCCAAAGCCTGTATCTACAATACAGAAACAGTTGGGTATTTCTGCTTTCAAAGTACTGAACTGTATTACACATTCGGCATCTATTGTATTTTTCAGGCTCATATTAAATGTTTTTCAACTTGCGGGCTCTTATAAAAAGTTTACCAATGAATCACAATGCCGGAAATTCCCCTTTTGTTTAAAATACTGTAAAGCTTTGCATTTAACCAACACTACACAATATGACTAAGTTAAAAAAAAATGATGGCCATTAACTTGCTTATTAATTTCAGCAGAAGCCTCCCATGTATCTGCACTATTGTGAGGCAACATGGACAAAAAGATTGGCACTTTTTATTCATAATAAAACTTTAAATTTGAAAATTAAGTATCGTTTGAGGATCCAATGTAAGTTCAGAGCTAGACTTTCTAGGTATACTTTCTGATATCACCAAGTAGGATATTAACAACGGAAACTAAGCTGAAAATTCCACAACGACTTGCACACGATACTCACCTGTACCTCTGAAAATCTCCATGCCGCAGGCCGTGCTGCTGCTGCGATTCCTTAATAATCTGCAGAACTAGCGCCAGGCTAAGGAAAAGCTCCAAAGGCAAGAACCCAAATAGATCAAAACGTGTCCCCATTCGTCTGTATCTGTAGCCAACCACAGCGGATTACACATTTCTGAAATGCTTTCGCTAGTGAAACCATTTTCAAAGCTGCTTGCCAGAGGACAGGGCGAAGCGCACAGAAAAGCTGATCGCCTTCACCATTTCTCCTTTCACACTAAAAAAGGCGGCCATTACCAGCCGTTACGGATTACTGAGCCCCAACAGCGTCAGGGAGGCTGCTGGGTTCTAAGTGCGGCCTGTGAGTGGGCTGGTTCCCACTGAGTTACACCTGGACCCAGTCATGTCCGCACTCCAGCAGGTTCGGGCCGGAAGTGACGTGTATCCCTCCCCACTGGCATCGCCGCCTCCACCTGCCAAACCGAACTGTCCTCACCAGCTGTGATGCCGCAGGCGCCCCGATTAGCACCTGCCAACCAAACCAGGCCCCCGTTTGCATAGAGATACTGAAGTTTTTATTTTAAAAGGGCAAGCCCTGACCAAACTCTCCTTTTTAAGAATCGTAAAATAGTTTAAGGTCATGTACCCAACTTTAGAAAAGTCCAATGACCTTTATCTACAACTTTAGTTTTCTTTCCCCAGTTTCCTCAACGCTTCTCTATGGCTCTATTTAAAAAAAAAAAACTAAAAATTAAAAGGAGTATTTTAATAACCAAAAAGGGACGAGGAGGTACAAGGTCCTAACACCCATCTGGAATTACACCTCCAGTTCAAAAACTCCAACCCCCGGAAAACGTAACTGTGTCCAGACGTCAAGCTCCTTGTGTTATTTCAGAGACTCCGCTACCTGCTTCGCACTTGTTGCTTCGTTTCCAAAAGCCACACGCTGGCGTCCCCAGCACTCAGGTGCGATCACGCGCGATGCAGACTGGAAACCTACTCCTCCGGCGCGTCTGCACGCGAGAGAAAACGCCCACCGACCTACTAAGGAAGCTTCGCCGCGACGACTCGCGTTCACAACAGGCCACAGGCTTTCCCTCGGAGCATCAAGCTTTAAGCTTTGCCTTCGCACCCAGGACATCAAGCTGCGATGCCTACTCCCCATTCCCCATTCCCCGCCCGCCGCCCGACCGACACGTAGTCATTCCCCGTCGGGCCCCATTACTCCAGGATACTCTCCAAGCTCAGGCTGTCCCCGAACTCCTTGCTGGCCTTCGATCCGGCCGAAGGGCGCTCGTTTTCCTTATTTTCTTCTCCCCCGGCACCGCGTCCACCGCCGCTGCTGCCGCTGCCGCCGCCACCGCCGCCACCGGGAACCTGTTTCTCAGCAGCCATCTTGCCCCAGTGCCGCAGAGCAGGACGGGATAGAGGAGGCGAGACGACCGCGGCGGGAGAGAGCGGGCCCTGCCAGGCAGAGGCTGATGGGATAGCGGCGGACTCCCCTCGCCCTCCCGGCCCTCCCGAGGCAGCCACTTGTTGCAGGGCCTCTGGGGTGGGCTCGGATGAGTCTTTACAATATGATGCTCACTGAGAGAAGCCACGCAAAAGGCGGTATATTGTAGAGGTCCATTCACATGCAATGTCCAGAATAGGCAATTCTATAGAGACGGAAAGTAGTGGTGGCCTCCGGCTGAGAGTGGGGTGGAGATGGGAGGCTAATGGCGACAAGGGTAGAGGTTTTTGGGGGGAGGAAAGAAAATATTCCAAAATGGCTTGTGGCAGTTGTACGATTCTGTATATAATTAAAAACAAACAAAGACTTTAAATGGGTAAATTGCATGGTCTGTGAAATATATTTCAATAAAAATTTTTTTAAAGTAAGTCAGATTGGGTTAGTCAAAACTTTGCAGTGGCGCCTCATTTTTCTCAGACCAGAGCTACAAGCAACCGTCCTTACAATGGAAAAGGGCCCTGCATGCGATGCCTCTTACCTCCTCTCCCATCTCCCACCGATCTCCTTCCAGTCCATTCAGCACAGTCACACCAGCCTCCTTGTTTAGGGGCCCAGGCCAGTGCCTGCTGCAGGGCCGGCACTGGCTGTCCATCCGGAATGCTCTTCTCTTAGACATCTACTGATCTAGCTCCCTCACTTTGTTCAAGTATTTATATATATATATAGATATAGATATAGATATGGATTTGCATATCTCTGCGT